AAAAAAAAAATTAACACAGACCCATTTATAGATAACGAGCTGCTTTCTCTCAACTTAATTACATTATTTATTCATTTCATTATTCATTTGAAAAGAGCATCTTGCTTGTACAAAGAAGCAATGAATTAGAATGTTGTTATTACTGCAATTACAAAATTAGCCTATATTTCTACGATGAACCACTCCAGGACATAAATAGATCCCACTTATAAATAACTCAGTGCACAGCAGCTCCGACAAGCAAAGTTTAAATTTTTATGAATGGATTTTTTAATGATATCGTTTTTCAAAAAGGTATCACTTTCACTTCTCCGCGTGCACAGAGTCCTTTTTCGCATGGCTGTCGACCTGCCTCCCTCTACATATAAAATTCAAGATGGCGCACGTGCAGTGACAGGCCCGTATGGCTTGACAGAATAAGTTGACCGAATAATACGCGAAAAACTTTCAAATGAGATCAGCATATAATGTCACGGTAAAAGACGTTAAAGAAGCGAATATACAGATTATCTTCACAACATCTGAAGTAGTTTATTTTATTTTTGCTCATTACCTCAGACGGCACGCTCCGTGGTTTGTGACCGATACTGCATTACGTCATTTTCAAATTAACGTTGGCCATTATGTGGGAAAATTGTGGATAGCAGGACAAAAACTTACAAGTAAAATAAATATTAAATCTTTCAAACAAAACTTTGCAAAGTGAAGAAAAACCCGTTAGCAAGGCAGGAGATAGGCCCTGTGTCAGCCTAGAAAAAGGAACAGTACCGGCAGATAAGCAACTATGTAATTACGTCGGCTTACATCAAGCGGCAATTAACTCCCCGTCGAGCATAAACAGGGTGACAAGCCGCCACCGATGGACAAGCGGGGTTGATTTGCATATTAGCGAACATAGGGCGGGCTTGACGTCTTCTCATTTTCATTGCCATTGTGTTTTGCCCTATAATTATCTCGTCACCATGTACGCGTACAGACGTCAGAAAATGATCAATTAGTTGTCGCGGGAATTATAGGCATGACAGTACTAATAAAATTCAAACATGTCTGACCAATTTTCCCACTTTTTTTTCAAAGTTTGTAAAATTTAGCATTTTTTAATACAGCAAGTCTTTTTATTAAAAATTGATCCTTCATGTAATTTATGAGTGAAGAAAGATGCATACATTCTTTCTTTTTGAAACTTTTGTAAATATAAAATATCTGATGTATTGCTTGTCAAGACTTTTTCTTAAAAGCATATTGGTTATTTTAGCTCTTAATTCAAATTACTTTGTCAAAACAGGTTTTCTAGATTAAACTTTGTAACTTTTGCTCACAACGTCATCAATATGAGGGTCCGTGCGTTCCCTTAAAATGGAATAAAATAAAAGATGTATGCATTTCAAAGACAAATGAGTATAGGCTCTTCAGTATTCTGATAAGAATCCTACATTTGTCTATCATGAAGCACTCTGAAATCATCCTGTTTCATTTACAGAACTGTCATACGAGGATTTTGAAGCTGTACGCGTTGGATTGGAAGGATACTGAGGCATTACTGGGGAAAAAATTAGGAGTCCAAGAAATGAATTTTCACAACAGTACATTATGTGAAATACTGTTTGTTTTGTGACATTTTCAAGGTGTGAATGGAAATCAATTGTGGACCAAAACATCAAGGAGCATGTTTCAGTGCAATATCTATATGAGCCTTGTAAATGTTATTGGAACTGAATTTGCCTTGCCTGCTCTTTGGTTAGGAAAAAGGGCATTGATACGTGATTCTATAAATCTGTATTGTTTGACTGTTGAAAAACTAGTTTGTTTTAATGCTCTATTTATAGTCATATTTTCTTCTGACTTTTTTTTTTTTTTTTTTGTGTGTAACATGTGTATGTATGATATATGATTGTGGTTGTGTTAGTGTAGAGAAGTGTGTACGTGACTTTTCGTTTGTGTCTGTGTGTCTTCAATTCTATATAAAATACGGCACATTCGTTTCTTGTTTCTGCCATGTTCACACACAGGTGAGATAGACTTGATTGGTTAGCTTTTCATTTTTTTTTTGTGTTAAAATTTTGTATTTCTCTAAGTTATTTTGTTTGATAATTTCAGTGATTGTCATTTATTTTCATCCTTATTTTGTTTAGAAATTTAGTAAGTATCTTTAGTTCATTAATGTTGTTCATTTAAATTTTTCACTTCTGTGTAGTTCACTTCTGCATTAAGTTCATTTTATTTATGTGTAAATTATTGAATGACATTCGTTTCTTGTTTCTGTCATGTTCACACACAGAGTAAACTCGGGTTCGTAAATAATGAGAGCTGTTATATT